TTAAAATATATATATATATATATATATATATATATATATATATATATATATATATATATATATATATATATTTATTTAGTTATTTATTTTTAAGTAGAGATTTCAAGCTCCAATTTAAAAAAGACGTCCTCATTTATTTTTGCACATTATAATCAAAATAACGTCAATCTCACGAAAGAAAATCAAAATTGTCTTCTGGACGACGTACCGATTCGTTTCCGAAATACATTTACTTTCCCGCGAGCGTTCCAATACTTCTGTGGGGGAGTGTAGCCGGGACAATAAAAATTGTTTGCCTTCGCGAAAACGTTTAAATACGTTCTGGCTATGTAAATCTACCGTTCGGACTACCGTGCGACGCAAAGCTGGTGGAAACACCGCGGACGCGCGCGATATTTACGCTTCCAAGGTGTTCGGAGATGGTTATGTCACCGTTTTGGGCTCCGCGCGATGTATCACGGAACACATCTAAAATTGGCCGGCCGTTTAGAGATCCCACACGGCTCGGCGGCGTCGACACGGCTAACCGGCACGCACTCGGGGAGCCTCGGGCTCCTTCGCCGTGATTGGCTCCCGCCGCTCGCCGTGTCGTTCGCCGCCGCCGCGCAAGGTTCTCGGTTTAGGCTCGAAACCGCCGAACGCACGGCGACTGGAAAACTGAAAAGCCGGAAGGCTTTCGAAATTGCTTGGGCTCCGGCGGCGAGCCCGGCCGCCAGCCATTGGCCTATTTCCCGGGCCAGGGTTCGAAAGCCTCCGGGACTTATTCGACTATTTCGGGATTTGGTAGCAAGGTCTCGCCTTCGGTCTATTTCCGTACGCTCGAGAAGGGTCGCGGTGCCGTTCCGACGGAACATCTGAAGATTCCAGGCGTCTCAACCGGCCACGTGGTGCACGAACTTCGCGCGTTTCTGTCAGAAACGGGGACTTTTGTATTTTTAATCATTCTAATATTTCTAATATTTTTTGGTACAGTTTTATATATTTATAGTATTTGTCGATATTTTTTCGTATTAGGGTAAGCGCGCCAATTACTGTGCACGTTGACTGCATGCTCACAATAATTTTATTTTTATTTAAAATTGAAATCCATCGTTAAATCGAAGATATCGAATTTTTCCGATGAATTTTCATCTCGAATATTCGTAGCCGAGTTTCGTCGAGTTTCGGCCATAAATTACCGGTTGCCAGATCGCTGCGCGACCGGAGGAAGATGTCGATGGCGTCGAGCGTGATCCGCGAGGCGTTCCGCGCTTCTGCCCGCCGCTTTTACGTGAGACACATATTGCGTTACCGATCAAGGATAACAAGCTGAGACTGCTCGCTCGGCCGTCTCTTCCTATCTTTCTCCATCTCCCGTACCCGTTTACGAATGCCCACCTGACTGGGAGACGGTAATTAGGCTCGTTCGAGACAGTCCTTTGGCTTCACCTTGCACGCGATATTTAATAGGACTTTTAACGAGACGCTTTTCCACGCGACAATTACACGGTTCAGGTTAAACGTGCGTCATAATAAATAATTCTTATAAAATAGTTACCAATTTTTTTGAAGCCTTCCTAACTCTTTGAGACTTAGAAACGTATTAAAATTATTAAAAGAAGAAATTTATTTTTTTACTCTTTTTATTTCGTCCAAAGATCCGAGGATTAGTTATCAGAAACTTATTAATTTAGAAAATTCTTTGAAGTAGAACAACGTAATATATTAAATGTATACAAAAGAATATGTATTAATTTATACTGAAAATATATTTAGTATATATTTATTTAGTATATTCTAGTATATATTTAGTATATATATAATATATATATTATTATTGATATATATCTATAACTATATATATCACTATCTATATTAAATTTATTTGATTAATCGCAGCAATAGACAGCTAATTTTTCTACTTCTTAATTCTCTTCCTTTTTTTCATTTTTTTTCTGGACGTTTCTCATGCTACGATCATTTATTAAAAATTTAATAGTGCAAAATTGCGACAATCGGGCCGATACGGATGTCCAAGGAAAATAGGTGCTTCGTTCGACTGCGCGCCGCGGCGGCGCGGCAGCCGGTGAGTCGCAGAAAACGCGCGATGTGTACCATGGCCGTCACGGTCAGATTTCCCCCTCGATTTCCGCGTTGCCGTTTCCTTTCGATCGTCGATCCTCGACATCGATCGGAGACGACCGGTGACGGGGCCAGGGACCTTCGAATCGGGGTCCTTGAGCGCTGCCATTCTCGATCGCCGATGGCTCACCTGTGGCGTTGCTCTCTTCCAATCGGCGCGCTCTTCCTCTTCTATTTACATTCGAGATTTTCTGCCGTTGCATTCTGTCCTTCGTTCGCGCATTCACGTCGCATCTCGTTCGCATTCCTGGTAGCTACAGCTAAAACACCGGATCTTCGCGCGAAATCAAAATTCGTTGCTAGAATTGCCGAAGCCAATCGCAAGCTTTTCTTCGCCCTTCGATCGTTTTAATAAAAGTTCGCATTATTATACGTTCACATTTTTCGTCTCTCTTTTAATCTTTCCGCTGTTCTAAATTGTGCCAACTGATTGGCTTTTAACTAGGTTAAAACACTATATTTACGGAGCGCCGAAAGCGGATGTTCCATATTTCTTTATAAACTTTTTTAATACCGAACTTTACTAAGTTTACCATGCAATGATTAAAACACCTTTTTTTCTTTTAATATTGCTATTACCAATTATCCAGTTTTAGAGAACTTATTTCGTTTTAAAAGACGCTCGAATACTTTCGTCGTTCACTGGTATGCAGGGTTATGTTTATACAGGGTGTCCCATAATTATATTAACCCTTTGCACTCGAAGCGATTTTAACTGTAAATCTAAAATAATTTTTCCGACTTACAGTATTTCCATTTTGCAGGAGAAAGTGCATTTTATGCATACGAAATTGAGTCTCGCGATTCGTACAACGGTTACACTCTTAATAATGTTTAAAATTTAGGCTTTGATGATATAAGAATGATCTTAGAACGTGATATAACAATTTTAGTGGTGCCTCAGAGTCACCACTCGAGTGCAAAGGGTTAACACCCGGCAAGGAGCGATTCCTGAGGTAATTTGAAGCAACTTTTTCCTTGGCGAGAATGTAATCCGCGGCTTCGTTTACGAGTTATTCACGGAAAACCAGTGACCAATCAGAGGCGAGATCAGCCGGCGCGAGGTAGCGGAGCCAACGAGAGGCGAGATCGGCTGACGCGAGGCAGCGGAGCCAACGAGTGGCGAGATCGGCTGGCGCGAGGCAGCGGAGCCAATCAGCGGAACCGAGCTTCGACCGCTCGTTGGCTCGGCCGCCTCGCGAGCTCGCCTCTCATTGGCCACTGTTCTTCGTTAAAGTCGTACAAGACAGACATTACCGTAAGACAGAAAATCAATTTTCAATTCATAGTTAAAATGTCTTCGCGAGTGCAAAGGGTGAATATAATAAAAATTGGAATAATAATATTTAAATAAAATAAATAAAAATATTTATATAAATAATAAAAATAAAATAAATCGAATACCTCATCTTTCCATTAGCGTGGTGTCCTATCATTGTGAAAACGTTATCTCAAGGTACACAACAATAATCGAATTCGTTACGAATAGAACACAACGATACATGATTCGTTGCCGACTAGAATGGTAATTCGTCCTCCTTCGCTGTGCGTCTGTCGCGCTGCATCTCGCAGCGTAAACGTAACCTTGAAAATGTTATTCTTCGTTTCCTGCTGGCTGCCAACCGAATCGTAAAACCGTGAACGGACGAAAACAATAAAGTTTTCGTCGATCGTGAGCCGCCCGTTTCCTCGTTCGAAATAATGTATCAAGTTTCACGAAGATAGTTGATTTCTCGCCGTGTCAGTTTCCCCGTGTCGTATTTCGTCGCGTTTTTCGTCCGATGTTTTTACGTTGTCGAACAAACAAATATCGGAGATAGACCTGTGGTATTACGGTGGCAGCTCCGATCGGACGATTTCCGTTAATTAACAATTACCGGGCATTTATTGCAGCAGCCGGGCACGTATGTGCTTCGAGAGGAACGCGTCTCCTCCGTTTTCCGTGTTCCGACGGAGAGCCCAAGGAGATCGCGCGTCACTCTTCCGTGTTCTGCCCCTTTTTTTGCGCTTCAGATCACTGCCGGACGGATATCGTTCGCGCAGGTCCGTCCTGGAATCCCTGGCGGTCGACTGCCGTAAACGCGAGAACAATGCGCGTCCGATGAACGAACCCCGTGCTTCGTTTGCCGCCGCCATCTTTCGCTGCAATTTCGTCTGCTGTGTTCGAGCTTGTCGACGGTTGCTATACTCATGGAGTATAGCACCTATATATATAACATATACATATATGTGCTATATGCATATAGCATATACATAGTATATATGCTATATATGCTATATATTATATAATATACAATATATATTTACATATTATATATAATTATTTATAATATATTATATATATTATATATTATAATAATAAATAAAAAATTATAATATATTAATATATTAATTATTAATATAATATATAATATACAATATATATTTATATATTATATATAATTATATATAATATATTATATATTATAATTATATTATTATTATTAATTATAATATAATATATATATATTATATTATATTATATTATATATATATGTATAATATTGGAGCTTGCGTTAACACGAGGGATTAGCGGACGCTACTGAAATTTTTTACACACACACACACACACTCACGCACAAATTCACATACGCACACATAGGCTCTGCAAGATTCGACCGGCAACGTCGAATTCGTCCTTGTCATGCAGATCCGATAACACCGATGCAGAGGCTGCTTCACAGAGCTGTAACTTTGCGAGAAAAAATCGCAGCCACATTTACTTTTTTTTCAATTAAAGAGAAAGGATCAAACTTCATTCTACTGCGAACGGCGTCTCCGTAAAAAATTTTACAACGTCCGTGCGTTTCGTCAAACTCGACGGTTTTCAGTACAGAGACAAACATGGTCTCGCATTCGAAGGATTACATTGGCGGCGGTGCATCGAACTTCAAAACCAGATATAGGACGTTAAAGTAGAGACTCCAAGCTTTAATTTGAAAAAGACGTCGTCGTTCTACGACGATTTTTCGCGGATTTATCGTCGATCGAAGTTGGCCGATTTTTATCCAATATTTTTCTAACCTCTTTTCAGCGGCGTGCACGATATATGACCGCGCCTGAAACGTCGCTTTATATTATTACACGTCTGAACTTTGTGTTATTATCTGTCATATATTTCGAGACAGTACACGTGTTATTACCGCCCCGGTGTTACAACCGAGGTCGGTCTCTCCCCTGTGTAACAGCAGCTCGGATGGCGGAAAACCGGCAAAAACGGGGCGCGCGAAGACGGATGGCCGGCGTAAACACGCGATGAAACACGATCGTAATTTTGTAGCGGCGGAGTTTCCAGGTTGAGATCACGGCTGAGGACGCTGAGAGCGAGTCGGCCTGGTGGGACTCGGTTTGAGGGTCACGCGCTCGGTAAGGTCCGTGACTGAAAAGCTAACCGGTAACCGGTCCTCCTCTCGCGCGATCGCAGCGCCGCGTCGCGGCGCGGAGCGAAACGTCTATGTACAGGGCGTCCCAAAAATGTCTCGCGATCTGAAAGTGGCGGGTTCCTCGGGTCATTCGAAGCAACTTTTTCCTTTACAAAAATGTTCTCCGAGGCACCGTTAACGAGTTATCAACGAAAAACAGTGGACCAATGAGAGGCGAGCAATAACCGTGCCAATGAGTGGAACCGGGCTCCGCGCGCCGGTTGGTCGGGCCGCCTCGCGTCTACTGTACTCGATTCTTATTGGGCTCTTTAGCCATTTCCGGATTGCGAGACATTTTTGGGACACCCTGTATATCCATCGAGCAGAGTTTCTCTGATTAATTTGTACGTTAGTTGGATCCGTCCGAGGACAATTCATGGTTAAATTGTTTCTAGCACGGCCCGAGGGCCTGTCCTTCATGGTGTCCCTCTCGCCATCTCGCGATCTCGCCGGTACACTTATACGATATATAACGAGCTCCGGCATTTTTCGTGCGTCCCGGATGACGGTCTCGCTTTATTCCCGTCGGAGAGACGTGTTAATGGTCCGCGTGCCTGGGTCAACGGCACGAGCGTGTCTCGCTCGAGTGAGCGCGTCATCTATAAGTAATTCGGGTGTCGTGTCCGCACCGGTCGAACGTTTCCCGCGGCCGCGAGGGAGGGGGAACATCGATCGCGTATCGCCGGTCCGCGTGCGATGCGCTCGATGGTTTTACGATCGTGTCTCTTCTCGAGCGCACGCGCTCGTGACGCAGACGCACGGCCGCGCAGCCGGATCTATTAAATCGACGGATGGCAGCAGCAGCAGCGGTAGCGGATCGCCGAATGAAAAGTCAATGAGCATGCTCTCGCGGAACACCGTGTGACCATGGTCACGTAGTCCATGGGGTTTTCTTTCTTGCCCGAGCAAAACCCCCAGCCGAGACGCGTTTTATTTATAGTTTCGGTACAAGAAATCTTTACGATTATTAAATAATTAGACATTTTTTTTGATCGGAATCATTTCGTAGAAGGAAAAGATACTTCGTTTATTTATTTATTTATTTATTTGTATTTATTTGTTGTGTATTTACGCGAATGTTTAAATATTGGTGAGAAGAGGAGGTTTGCGTTCGCACATCTATTTTGCGATCGAATATTTGCGAACGCTATACTAGACACTTAGCGTAATTATCGCGGATTCGCGATCCATCGCGAAACCGATAATATTTACGTTCAGATACTTTTCAACTGCGCAGTTTAAGGCGGTGTACCTGAAATGTTCGACGGAAATTGGTTTGCTTGCTGGGGAAAGTAGATTTTTGAAATAGCAAATAGACTATAAATATCTTCTCGTGTAACACAGAAATTGTCGAATCAACTTTTTTTTTTAAATAACAGTTGCATACATGGAAATAGCATTTCAAATATATAGGATGTCCCATAATTGTGTTAACACTTGAGTGGGATGATCCCCGAGATGATTTGAAGCAACTTTTTCCTTTGCGAGAATGCAATCCGCGGCTTCGTTTACGAGTTATTAACGAAAAACACTGACCAATCAGAGGCGAGTTCGGCTGGCGCGAGGCGCCAATCAGCGGGACTGGGCTTCGACCGCTCGTTGGCTCGGCCACCTCGCGCCAGGCGAGCCAATCAGCGGAACTGGGCTTCGCGCGCTCGTTGGCTCGGCCGCCTTGCGCCAGCCGAGCTCGCCTCTCATTGGTCGGTTATCGTTTCTTCGTTAATAACTCGTAAACAAAGCTACAGATTGCATTCTCGCTAAGGAAAAAGTTATGGGACACCCTGTATATAAAATTACTATTATAATTACCATTTCAAAATAGGCTTATTTGCTAAATTCAGTATTATACGAGAAGCTACAAATATTTATAGTCAATTTAGCCTATTTCAAAAATCTATTTTTTTTTTCGCCAGCACTGAGTTATTCGCAATCTCGTGACTTGCCGGTGAAAATCTGCGCGGGATACGATTAAAAAATCTGACAGCATCGTGCGCGAATCAGACAGACCGAGTGGCATCGAATTACGATGAGGTCGATCTTCATCGGAGTCAATTGATACGATCTACGCTCGGCGTGGATCACGTGAACGATCTATGTCGCGCCTGTTATCAGGCCGTAGGTCGACCATCGTAAATACGCGAGGCGTCTGGATGCGCACTCTGCCCGGCTATGCAAATACACCATCGAAACTTTCCCTGTCAGCGGTCTTTCCTTCGACAAAGCAAACGGTCGACGACCATCCAAGCCGACTATGCGATCGTAATACGCCGACACTGCAACTTTTCCAGGACTAATCGCATAGAATTTAAGAAAGTAAATTTCTTGCTAACGTTGCTATTAACATACTATTAAATTTAATATTTTTTAAATTTCAAATTATATATTTGAAAGAATCCTTCTGTGAAATCCTAAAAACCCACGTCGCGTAATACTTCAAAATCAAATTTTTCCAAGATGACTCTGTAAAGAAACAGAAATGAAATAAAAATAAACAGTTCCTTCGAATAATTTCGATTAGCTGAAACTAATCTAACAGTAATATCTTGTTCATTTTATGTCTGCCCAATTTTATATTACGGCTACTCATTATTGCTATAAATAGCATAAAATTCGCAGTCTATTTATGAGAGTACACTTCGATTTCTGTTCGAAATTCCCCGGTTCGACCGCGCGTAACAGCAATCAATTACGGGGATTTTCTTGATCGAGCGAGGCAGTCGATCGAGGATGGCCAGGAGTCGACGTACTCGCTGCTACCGGCCGACACTCTATAATTTACCATTATCGTAGTGAATCGTAAAACGACCATCTACGGGAACTACCGGCGTGCCATGACTCACGTAAAGTAGCATCCATCGGGGATTTATGCTCGTTATTATTGCGCTATTTGCGGACGTGAAAAACGATCGCGATGGACGTTCCACGCGACGCCCCGTGTTGCTTCGCGATGCCCCGTGTCGCCTCGCATCGCCCCCCGCGTCGGCTCGCATCGCCCCGCGTCGCCCCTCGTCGCCTCGCCTCGCCTCGCGTCGCCTCGCATCGCCCCGCGTCGCCTCGCCTCGCCTCGCGTTGCCTCGCCCCGCCTCGTGTAACATCGTCGCCGTTACCGTTTTCATTTTCACACGTTGTCTTCCACGTGACGAATTCGTGGCCGTGTTTGCACGATATTCAAATTGCTTTCTACTTCCTGGTTATTACCGTCGATCCGGTTTCTTAAACGCTTTACGGCTCATTGTGCGCAGGGACTTGCATTATTCCATCACAAGTGGAAATCATGGGATTGCTTTTAATTGTATCTTGCTGGTCGGTGATACTATGTATTTGTTTTGGTGGGCTGTGGCGTGTAATTTGACACGCTAAATCAGCAAAAGATTCGTGCACACATTCGTTCATAATAATGAACTTGTTTGTACCAGTTTGCTAATAATTACCGATCGGTCGCTGTATAGTTAACGTTAGGCTTACGGAAGCATCAACAGCAGCAACTTTATGCTGTTTTGTAAAAATAACAATCATACGTTTATTCAGATTGTTAAATAAATTCCCGACAAATTTAGCTTTACAATTTCAATAATTATTGATTACAATAACTTGGTACAAAACGATTGGTTGTTAATGCAACTGTTAAGCGATTCAAAGATTCGTAAATAAATTACGATAAATAATAACGATAAATAATTACGAATCGAAATAGTTCAGTCACGATTGAACAGAATGAAGTGAATAAAAATTTGACGAACGCCGAAAGTCGATGCAACTTGTTCGAACATTGCGACGAGATTTCGAAGGAATTTCTTTAGAAAAAAAACAACAATCTAGCAAGCAAGAAATTGATGCACGGATCGGCGCACGAGCAAACAATAGGCCGGAGGAGATCGATGGATTTAAAAGAAAAATTCCCCTCGCCGCGATTGCAGCAAATTGCAAGTAGAACGGGAGACGGTGTCGAGTAGCATGAGCTCTCCTATTTGCAATACATATCCCGCGGCGCGCGCGCGCGGTCGTAAACGTGCCGCGAACGTGTCGTCCGTATCTATGACACACGAGATAATTAACCGTTTACGAGGAGGCGCGTGCGCGGTGCATACGAGACATAGCGATCCGAAATGGTCCGCGTCTAATTAGTGGCTATCGCGTACGCGAGAATATTATTATAATATATTATATTATTCTTGCAGTTGGGCTGCAATTATCGCAGTCCAGTAGCGTATAATTCGCTCGGTCTAATTACGAACGGATTGTCTGCTCCTCCGATTGTTTTAATCCTCGGATGGCAGACGCGCCGGGTCCATTTGGACAGAGATACAAACGTTCCACCAAAATTCAGTTTTCCCGTTTATAAATTTCGAATTATTTATAATAATTTATAATTATGTAATTATTAGACTGTGGATCTTTGTGCAAAATAATAATTTTGTGCGTCACTTTCTTTCTTTTGCTAATGATTTTAATAGCGTGCAAATATATGATAATATATATTTGAAAATATGTATTTAAAATTTTACGTAGTCATAAAATCCGCACTCTAGCTATTATCAACCATTAATATTGAAACTAATGAACATACATAACCATACATAACCATACATAACCATTTATAACCATACATAACCATAAATAAGCATATACAACCATGCGTAAACAGACATAACCTCAACAGAGAGGTTTTAATGATATTCAAACGAGAATTAATACGCAGAGATTTGTGCCGTGGCTGCCATAAATGCTGAAAAATGTCGACCGTTTAAAGGTTAATTGGAACCGACCGGCTAATTAATCCGATCCATCGAGCTCGTGCGCCACAAATCACGTTGCCGCAAACACCGTCCGCGGAAAATCGAAAAATCTTGCTAACGAAGATTCAGCACGCACGCGCGCGTGCGTGCAACCGGACAATCATGGGTGATTAGACGCTCGCACGATTAAGGGTGTCCCCCCTTCTTCCCTTCTTCCTTGGCTCTCTCGTCGAGGAAACCTTGAATTTGCGCGCAACAGCCTTCGCCTTTCTCCTCTTCGACAACTCCGGGTCTCGGCGACGACTGTTTAAATGGCGTTCGGAGAAAGCTGCGAAGGACGCCGTTGACAGACGTCGGCACAGTAGGGAGCATTCGATCTCGAAAACTGGCGAAAAATCGATTTTGAAAATTCTCGTGCGAAATATAAAATTCTTGTTTTCTGAAATAATTCAACGCGAGTCAACAATATCCCATCATATTTTGGTTATGCTTTGTTATAAGTAAAGAGTTCTTGCGATACCGTTCCTCTGTTAACCTTCATAATTAATTTTAGACAATCTTCGGCAGTTCAATTAAATAAATCTCTGTTACGATATACAGGTTGTCCCAAAAATGTCTCGCAATCCGAATGTGGCGGGTTCCTCGGGTCATTCGAAGCAACTTTTTCCTTTACAAAAATTTTCTCCAAGGCACCGTTAACGAGTTATCAACGAAAAACCGTGACCAATGAGAGGCGAGCTCGGCTGGCGCGAGACGACCGAGCCAATCAGCGGAACTGAGCTTCGCGCGCTGGTTGGCTGGGCTGCCTCGCGTCGGCCGTACTCGATTCGTATTGGCGCACCGTTTTTCGTTGATAACTCGTTAACGGTGCCTCGGAGAAAATTTTCGCAAAGGAAAAAGTTGCTTCAAATGATCTGAGGAATCCGCCATTTCCGGGTTGCGAGACATTTATATATAATTATATAATACACACATATATTATACTACATATACCCTGTATAGTGGGTGTCCCAAAAATTGCTCAAAATCGGGAAACGAGGGGTTAATAAGGGGTCCCAAGGTAATTTCAAGTAACTTCTTCCTTAGCACGAATGCGATCCGCGGCTTCGTTCACGAGTTATTCGCGAAAAACACCGACCAATGAGAGGCGAGCTCGGCTAACGCGAGGCGGCCCAGCCAATGAGCGGGACTGCGGTTCTCTATGGCCGCCGAGAGTGACTTCGCTGCGCGCCTCGAGCGCTGCGATCTCTAGTATTGAAATCAAAAGACACGTGGTTCTCCATCGAGAAGCCTGCGTGACATTAAAGTTCGACCTTGAAGGGGGTCTGCTTGGATTCGTTGGATTTGCATGGGTGCTGGTTCGGCGGCGAACGCCAAAGGCCGACGAGGAAAGGAAGTCTTAAAGGACTCCGTGCGTCACTATGTTCGCGCCTGTTATCGCACAAAAGCTCGTTCATCCGAACGACGTGAATATTATTAACAGTCCGGTCGTGTACATTCAGATATTGTCCCGACGAAAACTGTCCGCAAGGTCGACAGAGGAGGCGATACACGTGAAACGCCGATGCACTGGGAATATTAAAAAGCACTCGCGATGAGAACGCTTCCATGTTCTGGTAAACCGATCCACCGGAATACGTACAGTGTGTATCGTACAACGTTGAAATCACTAATCGACTCTAAATGGCATACGGTGGTGTGAATAATTATAGACTCAAAGCAAACTTTTACACTTTTAATGATATTTCAACGAAAGCTTCACGAAATATCGTATTTGTATATTTCGATTTTCTATTGTCTTTAATATAGAAATATACAAATACAGTTTTGTTCTTGATTTTTGTTTGGATATATAAAAGTTATTTATTATATTATTTATTTATATTTATTTATGTTTATTTATATTTATTTATATTTATCTGTATTTATCTATATTTATTTATATTTATTTATATTTATCTATATTTATTTATGTTTATTTATATTTATCTATATTTATCTACATTTATTTATATTTATTTATTATATATATTTATAGCTATTCACAGCACTGTAGGTGGTCCCTTTTAGCAGGGTCACCTTGTATATTTAAAAAGAAACTTAACGAAATGTCACACTTGTATATTTCTACATTCGAAATAATAGAAAATAGAAATATACAAAGATAATATTTCGTTTAGTTTTCGTTCAGATATCGGCAATAATGTAAAAGTTACTTTCAATCCAATAATTAAGCCACTTAATTCAACAACTGTACCTTAGATTGCGACCTGCTCAATTTACAATTACCATTAATCGCACAAAGAGGTCAAAGTCCCCCGAATAGTGCGCGATGTAACCGGCAGTCTCGTCCGAAAAAAGTCATTGTCGTAACTTCGACTACGATTGTTGTTTCAGGTGCCTATGAACGAGACAGAGTTCAACATCCTCTGGATGGGCAACCACCCGAAACCAGACATTCTTCGGAATCTGATGCCCCACCAGAAAGTCAATCATTTCCCCAGGTAGGCCAGACGGCGTTCGCTCCAAGAACTGTGTATATAGCGTACACCTTGTTCCTTTTTTATAGCCGATGATATTCCTCGTTTGTTTTCTCTGTTTGTTGCAGATCGTACGAGATCACGCGAAAGGATCGTTTGTACAAGAACATCGAGGCGATGCAGCGCAGCAAAGGGCTCCGAAATTTGGACTTCATACCGCAAACGTTTCTGCTGCCCAGCGAGTCCAGGGAACTGCTGACAGCGCATTTCAGGTATCGCGGCCCCTGGATTGTCAAACCCAAAGCCAGTTCCCGCGGACGTGGCATTTATATCGTTAACAGTGTGAGCATAACAATTTCTAAGTATGAGTTAAGAGCACGTGGGGCTGTTACCATATGCTTCTCCCTTCACGCATCGTCAGAAGACTGTTTTTCCTGCCTGGAACACGGTTCACCGTGTTCTCCTTGTGGTCTATATAGTTTTCCCTTACACGCACACGTTAGTTGAATCTGAAACTAACGCCTCGGATTAGGTTCAGAAAAGTTAAAAATATCATAGCTATCGGTAAGGAGACATTGCCAAAGTGTACAGTACCTTCGAGTATTCTGCAAGCTTCTTTAACAGACTGTAACAAAGTCTAGAGAAACGAAGACATTGAACATAGTGAATTTAATTCTTAAGCTGACATCCAAAGTGCACTTATTTTATATAATAAAGTCTAAAAATAGTTTGCCAAAGAATCGAACAGATTGCACCGAGTCTCAATTTCTGTTTGTACATAGCAAACAAAGTGTACAGTACCTTCGAGTATTCTGCAAGTGTCTTTAACAGACTGTAACAAAGTCTAGAGAAACGAAGACATTGAACACAGTGATTTTAATTTTTAAGCTGACTTTCAAAGTGCACTTATTTTATATAATAAAGTCTAAAAATAGTTTGCCAAAGAATCGAACAGATTGCACCGAGTCTCAATTTCTCTTTGTTCGCAGCAAACAATGTAACGAAGCTTGGCTCCTGTACTCCAAGCAGCAAAAAAGTCTCCTCCGATAGTTGATTAGCTTGTTGTTTCCAAACGGTTGATTCGCTAAGTGAAACGCTCTGCTTCCAGCCCGAGAAGATCCTGATGGACGAGTCGGTGATCGTCGCACAATACATAAACAATCCTCTCCTCGTCGACGGGCACAAATGCGACCTACGACTTTACGTCGCCGTGACGAATTACGACCCGCTGTTGATATACCTATACGAGGAGGGCCTGGTTAGGTTCGCCACGGTGAAGTATGACGGCGGCAATCAGTACGTCTGGAACCCCTGCATGCATCTGTGCAACTACAGCATCAACAAATTCCACGTGGATTACGTGAAGTAAGAATTCCACAATCAAGAATTCCATAATCATTGCGAAATGTTATCTGAACTTATCAATTAATCGTTTCGCCTGGCACCAGGTTTCTCTGTATGGCTTTTTGATTGAGTAATTGTTTGGAATTGTCTAGAAGCGAGGATCCGGACGCGGAGGATGTAGGTCACAAGTGGACACTGTCGGCGTTGCTGAGACACCTGCGCTCTATAGGACAGGACACGGAGTTGCTGATGCAGCGCGTCGAAGACATTATAATTAAATCGATCCTGGCGACCGCCTCGGGCATCGTCAGCGGTATCAAGCAGTTCGTCAAGCATCCGGAGACTTGCTTCGGTAATTTGACGATTAAAAGAAAAGAGAATCGATTAACAAAAAAATAAATAAAAAAAATAAAAAGCTCGGTTCTCCTAAGTCCACGAAGAATCGCTTGAGCGACCAAACAAAGAACCACAACCAGACTTCATAACACGTTTTCTGTCTGCTGCCAGAACTATTCGGCTTTGATATCTTAATCGACGACACGCTGAAACCGTGGTTACTGGAAGTGAATCTAACACCGTCGTTGGGATGCGACTCGCCGCTCGACGTCAGACTGAAGTCCGCGTTGATAGCGGATCTGCTTACCCTGGTCGGTGTCTCGGCAGTGGACCCAGTGCTGCGGCCGCAAACCACGCACCTGAATCGATCCACGGTCGTCTCGACCAAGAGAACAGCTAGCGTGAGTTAAACACGTCCTGTCGAACTAACCCGGAGCTACCTAGAAAACAGAGCAACGCGTACAAATTGGCGCTTTCTTTCTGTACAGTGCAGAAGAGTCCATTCGGCGGAGACGTTGTCGCAAAGAAAGAAGAACGTCAGCAAAAGTAACATCAATAAGTCGGGACTGACCAGCGAGCAGCAACGTATAGTGGCGTCCGCGAAAGCGCAGTTCGAAAGAAGAGGAGGATTTGTCCGCATATTTCCTAGTCCAAAGTCGTGGGAGATGTATTCGCAGTATTTAGGTGTGCAGAAGTATTTATGGTATTCCACGCTGTCATATAGATACATATATGTATACATATGGTACACATCAGGTGTCATATGAATTCACACCAGAAAATTGAAACGGCTGTCACGGTTAAACTACATATTATTTCGGGTCCGAAAAACTAGTAAATATTCTTCGGACGTTCTAAAGTAAAGGTGAACAGCGTTTTTCTTAAAAATATCACTTTTACGTAGTAAAAAGAAATCCGGAAAGTTCACGCTTCGCGACTTGTTCGATGCTTCGAACGCGGCTCGAATCCGTCCCGACCTTCTGTCAAAGCCTCGTGCTGCGGGCTCTCAAACTTCGCGCCCTCGCCTCTCATTGGATAATGTATTTTCGTTAATAACTCGTAAACAAAGCAGCGGATTGCATTTCCGCAAAGGAAAAAATTACTTAGAATGACCTCGGCTACCCCACATTTCCGTATTGCGAGACATTTTTGGGTACATTCAATTTAACCTTGATATAACCTTGACATTTTTGGGTACATTCAATTTAACCTTTACATAACCTTGACATTTTTGGGTACATTCAATTTAACCTTGACATAACCTTGACACCCTGTAGATATATAATATAGTTTGATATTTTTATGCTTTATGTAGATCCAACAACGGGGATACCGGTCGTGTCGGATCCTCTAGGACCGGGCAGAGCCCAGCACGTGAACACCAATCACAATCTAATGCTGCACGAACAATTATTTCCTGCCGCTAGTCGCACCACCGGCTTCATCATTCCTGAAGTTACGCTGGACAGGCTATCCAGGTACTTTGGCAGAAATGTTATAACCCTTAGCGCTCCGTTGGTCCCGCTATGGAGACATCCGTCATTTGTTCCGTAAATCCGAAGGCTCTGCTGCAGAGCAAAATGTTTTTAGCGTGATTACACATGAAGATGCTATGTTTTTGTCGACGTTGGCAACTGTTATTTGTAGTGAAAACGTGCTTAGCGTGTGTACCATTATGATTAAAACATTTTTTGCCCATTTTTATACTTAGCAACATAAAATGAATAAAATCAAACGCTTTCGCAAGGACGTGTAATCTTTTCCGCTCAAAATAAGACTTTTCCTTTATGTCGGGCGCTTTGCTCCAAAAATGTGCCGAAGTTGCTGGTAGGTAGTACTCGAGAAACGCGTGGAGAGCTAAGGGTTAATAAGTCCAACGTCTGTTTTGTATTTCAATGATCAATAGAGAATCGTCACCAAGGATTCTCTACGATCGAAACTGATCGAAACAGAAAATTCATTGGAGAGCGTTATGTGCGACACGATATACAATGTCCATGATTTGTTGTAGATACGAAAGGTACGAGAGAGCGTTAGTGAAAGGGCATAAGCAGAGCTTAGACCGCGGTGACAGTAAAGAGAATATGGACATCGACAAGCATAAATACAAAAGTCAAGTGGTACAGGCCATGCACGATGGAAATAAACTTAGGTAAGCGATTAAACGCAATAAAACCTGTTAAACGTATATTTATATTACAATAAAATTGTACTTGTTCAGTCCTGGGGAAGCAAGAAAAGCCTTCGGTTTATATTTAGGTCATGTGCTGCGCAAGATATCTCAACCCAACGCGGATCCAGCGTGCTGCGACCTTGTAATGAAATTTCTTCAGCAGTGTGCCAGTAATCTAAGGACGCCCTTCTTCTTCACGGTGAGCTTTTGAGACAATACCTTCCCCATGCTTTCCAAGGTAGTACCAGGCTCTGTAATAAGTCTTAATATTCGCCTTAATATCCTCTTACAAAGAAAAAAGGCAAGATGGACTTATTACACAACCTAATATATTTTCTGTCGCAGTTGCCAAGCAGTAAGCTCGGCGACAAGGACCGTGCTGCCATTACCGCCAAACAGCTCTCCGACTTTCTGCATCTGTACAATCGGGAAACAGATCTCTATGCAGACACCGTGGATCGACCTCGCACCGTTCCGAACAGACTGTTCCAGAAATTTCTCGCCGCAGCCAAGTAGTGATCTGTTTATTGAATTTTTTTCTCTTTTCTCGCATCACGTTCTTCGAATTAATGAAAATTTTCATTTGCGAGCAGCGAGGAGGACTTGGACGACGTATTGACCCTACAAACCAGGTTGTACAAATGTGCCCACAGCTTTCTGGGAAGAAGCGGATTCGCCGGTAGCCTACCAGGTCCTAACCTATTAGGCTCGCTGCCGCACATCACGTCACGCGTGTATTCGAACGCCGCGAACAGCGAGCAATGTAAATGTAATCAGTCCATCACAAGGCCTATGAAAGCACCGCGCACATAGCCGCGCGATCTGTGAATACCCCCGTTTATAGTCGCCATGTTTACTCTTTAAGATAAATATATATATTATATATATTATATAATATATATATATATACATATATATATCTAAGTACGGCTGCCTAGGACTTCCCAGTACCAGTGGACAATCATCCACGCGTAATCGTAACGTTTCCCATTCGAATATTGCACAGAAGTAATAGAAAAAGGAAGAAGAAAAAAAACCAAGAAATACCGTCACAGAACTAATATTTTGGGTACGCTTTGAAGGCGCTTTAACTTCTCGCTTTGTATTTATTAAGCTGAACGGAGTTCATCGACGCGATACTTCCAACGAAATACGACCTCGTCGAAACTTTCCTCGGCGTAGCTCACAGCCACGATTTTATCCTCGAGGGGCTAGTCATCGGCATCAATGACTCCTCGAGGAGCTAGATAAAAAGTACAGTTAATGTCTCTCTAATCGACGCTCAGATTGTCCACAAAAATGGAGAATGAATTATTGAAGAGGAGATACAATTGTTCGAGCTTTGTAGCTCGTTTTTCATGTCAACGATTATAAAAACGAATCGCAAGGCTCCTCGAACAATCGTATCTACTGCTCCCAAAATTGTCCATTTTCGTGTATAATCTGGTGCGTCAATTAGGGAGACATTACTGTGTCCGCGAAGCTGGGAGACGCCTCGCGGATGTAGGAGGTCTCTTTGTGTTTTATTGTATGAAACAGGTGGCCAATTAACATTGAAACATTCGTAGGGGTTAAAGGCAGCATGTCTTTAAGAAGTTACGTATCAATTATTAAATTTTAACGACGGCGTATTCTGTCCGTTCGAACCGATTGATGCTTAACGTTCGATTCAGAGAAAACCTTTGGGTTCATTATTAATACCGATGAATTTTCTTTATCGTACTTGTTTTTTTTACTTTTTACTTCGCGTGTTACTTTCAGCAGAAATGTTTTAGGTCCGATGGCCCAGTATCTGAATTTCTCGAGGTACTCGTATAACATATTGTTCAACGTAGATTCAAGTTTGGATATTTCGCTGCCGAGGCTTGAATTTAAACTGCTCGAGTACTTAGGTGCAATTTCGGCTACTCTGGAATTCTAGTTTATACCAATCGGGTAGGCGTGTATCACGATCGAAATTATGTTATTTATTAATTTTACGATTCTAGTTAGATTATTTATAATTCGATTGTTCATCCAGTTTCAGAGAGGCAGAGTAGTAGCATCGACGCTACCGTATTTAAATAGTTCTATCATTCATGTTCCTAGTTAAGCTATCCGTATTTTTATTTGTTCGAGGCAGGCACGTATCTTTATTATTTTGTTTATCGGTTGTTTTACGGAGCCTTTCCTTGTCTAGTCAACTTAAAAGGCGAAGGCCCCCGTGAAATTCGATCGTGTTTATACGGCGATTATTTGTTGCTACTTTTCAAATTATATGTATATTTATTATTTAACAACAGTCTGAGACATTGAATTCGTCCACGAAAATAGGTACAGTAGTTAGTTAGATATGTAAGATATGTAGACGCTAACGAAACAAGAAAAAAAAAGGAAAAACGATTTACACACGAGAGAACATTCAACGAATCTGATGAATTATTGCGAGCACATTGTAGCGATGTTAAATCAGGGTTAAGAGTTTCTGCGAGAGATCAATCTTTTCAAATGCAATAACCGAGCGCGACCAAGTCGAGGCGAGAACCGTTGTAAGATACACAAACTGTACTCTGTAATCTGTAACAATGATTAGACTGCAGATGTTTATGCGATTTACATAGAATAATTTGTTACAAGTTACATAGAAATTTACTTCTCCCGTTGAAGGCTCTAGCATGTTTTTCAGCACATTGGAAATCTCAGTGAACATTTAAATGTTTCAAAACAAAAATTTTTTGCATAAAATCCGCAGTCTAGTGGCAATGGTAGACCTGCTCGCACAACGATTTACGCGACGAGTACAGTAATAACGCGTTAATTGCACCGTGTATTGGGGAACGTTTGTCGGTATGGTTGGCAGGTACCAATCCGTTAGCGTAAAATTACCATAGATCGTATCCATCCATGCAATGCCGTCAGTATTTAATAACGAGGAATGTGCAGCTTCTATTTCCAACCAGATGGAACAAGGAGATTCTGCAGGGTGTCCGAAAAATGTCTCGCAATCCGAAAGTGGCGGCGGGTTCCTCGGGTCATTCGAAGCAACTTTTTCCTTTACAAAAATTTTCTCCGAGGCTTCGTTTACGAGTTATCAACGAAAAACCGTGACCAATCGGAGAGCGAGTGCGGCTGATGCCCCGCCCTCGCGACCACTGCCGCGTCGCGCCGACCGTCTGGCGCAGCGGCATTGGCCGCGAAGGCGAGGCGCCGACCGCACTCACTCCGATTGGCGCACTGTTTTTCGTTGATAACTCGTAAACGAAGCCGCGGGTCGCATTTTCGCTAAGGAAAAAGTTACTCTTCAAATGACCTCAGGAATCACCCTCTCCCAGATTGCGAGACATTTTCGGGACAGCCTGTATATTTAATTCGCGTTTCGCGGGCTTTATGTGAACACCCGCCGTCGAAACAGTCGTCGTGCCCTTCTGTTGGTCAAGATTGTATCCGGACGTCATCGGCGGACACAAGCAAACAATTCTTCAGGCCGTTCGGCTGTGATACGGAAACGTGTACGCGTCGCTGCGAGTATCAATCAATCAATCAGTTGCATCGCAAATTGTTCAATCTATTTACACGTTGTGGTCGCGGTGAGTTGATCTCACACCGGACGAGCGAGAACAGTTCTAACGTTATCCTTTGATAGGCACAAAGAGAGATACTCTGCATTCATTCGGACGTGAATGTTTATTGTTATCGAATAGACCGTGGACGTTCGTGCGTTCCCGTGGATTTTGTACGAGCGGGTAGAGATCGACTTTTCATTTTCAAACGTATCATTTCGATAGCGAAGATATTGAAAATGATCGCTTGTATGGCATTTATTATGCACTACATTTTCGCTAATGTAGTAGTTTCACACTTCTGGAGCACAATATATCTAGAATAAACAGAGATTTTTGTTGGATCGCTTTCTCGGCGACGCGCGAACGTCCACGGGCTGGTAATTAACGTTGCTATATTGATCGGTTCAGTATAGCACTAGGAATGTCTATTTCCGACTCGAATATCCACATACAGAGGAAGTTATACAACGATTAGTCTTAAAAAAAAGTATGGTACTACAAGCGTATATCGATCACTTTTTGTCTTTATCGTAGAATATGTATTATCGTTTCGTTTCTCTACAGCGTGTCCGAAAAATGTCTCGCAAATCCGAAAGTGGCGGGTTCCTCGGGTCGTTCGAAGCAACTTTTTCCTTTGCGAAAATTTTCTCCCAGGCACCGTTAACGAGTTATCAATGAAAAACAGTGCGCCAATGGGCCTCGCGCGCTCGTTTGGCTCGGCGAGCGCGGCCGGCGCGAGGCGGCGGAGCCAATCAACGCGCAGCTGGGGATCGCGCGCTCGTTAGCTCGGCGAGCGCGGCTAGCGCGTGGCAGCCGAGCCAATGAGCGGAACCGGGCGTCGCACGCCGGTTGGCCGGGCCGCCTCGCGTCGGCCGTACTCGATTCTTATTGGCGCACCGTTTTTCGTTGATAACTCGTGAACGATGCCTCGGAGAACATTTCTGTAAAGGAAGAAGTTGCTTCAAATGATCCGAGGAACCCATTTCCGTATTGCGAGACATTTTCGGGACGCCCTTGTATATCCTTAGTGATATATTCTGTTATCTCTAGCGTAGTCTAAAGTATTATTTCTCGAATATGTTTTTTCCGTGGATAGGAGAATTCGCGTAATTTATACATAGAACACCACTGTCATCATGCGCATATATAGTAGTCCACTATTGCTCGATCAGCTTGCATCATTGCGTCTTGTTTCAACGACACACCAAACAAACGTAATTTCTTTGAAACGACAGAGCATATCGATTCCATCACGATGTTTGCGTCCATTGTAACATAGATGTGTAAGAGTGCTTGACGTCTTAAATTAAGATGATCACGCGTAAAAAGAAGTACATACTGCCATTCTTTTTATAAAACATATCTTTTTCCGTTGTTTGTCCCGAACGTATCTTTTATAACAAATGCGGACGGATTTCGTTTGAATAGGAGACACTGTTTTAGTAACGGAAGCGTGCGGGGATGCTACACACAAAAGTACAGTTATACCGTTCAAAATGATTATTTCTGTCGGCAGAGACACATGATCACGTGATTTTACTCTATATTCGTTTCACCGGATAACGATAAATGCGGATGGTAGCGGAGTAAAAGCACTTTAACAATCGTTTCTGTAGATCGCTTTTTCAATTGTTGAAAATTCTTTTCTGTTTCTGTTTATTTTTTTTTTTAACATTATTATGTAGCCGATCTTCTAAACAGTGTGTCCTCCGCTAACTGTATAAAAAACGATTATTTAATTACTCTTAAAAATATGAGATTATAATTATAAAATATAAATTAAAAGGTCGAATTTCTTTTAGATGAATTCAAGAGATACTAGCGCTAAGTGTTGTTTTTTTATCTTTTTTCTTTTTTAATTAGAACTGTACATTTTTTAGGATCGATTGCATATTTCATAGATCGACGAAATTATTGCGAAATTATTATAAATTAACCAATCTTTTAATTTATAAAGTTAAGTCTTGAGAAATTTAACTTTGACCTTTGTGTCCTGTAAATTTCATTGAATTTATCATCATCATTTTACATCGTTTAATTGTTATATACAAACTTTTTCGCGCCTATAATAATCAATGTTGAACAGATTAAATAATCGTCTTGTATGCAATTGCGACGGACAATACTGTGGAATGCGCGCGGAGATGCGAATCGAACGAAGCAAGCGTACGTCAATACAATGCCTAATCGAATGCGGACCATGACTAAAAAAATAAAAACGGCGACTAAAATAATTGTCCAAGTTACGAACCTAACACGTTGTTTACGTTTAAGCGGATCCTATAAACGCGGGAGAATATTAAATGTAGGCTTTTAATGTGCCGCGAACACCAATTTATATATATTTTCAATGTGCATTATCGTTGTGCTTGAGTATTTGCAATCTATTATACGAAAGAGAGAGAGAGAGAGAGAGAGAGAGAGAGAGAGAGAAAAGCCGTCTGTGATTGTGTCCTTTCACGATGCGCATTTTATTGTAGAGCAGAGAGATGGTCGACAACGCTGCGGATCTTTATGCCGATTCTCCCATTTTTATACAGAATTTTTCGTCAAATTTTGTCCCAAAAATGTCTCGCAATCCGAAAGTGACTGGTTCCTCGGGTCATTTGAAGCAACTTTTTCCTTTGCAAAAATTTTCTCCGAGGCACCGTTCATGAGTTATCAACGAAAAACAGTGCGCCAATGAGAGGCGAGCGCGGCTAGCGTGAGGCAGCCGAGTTAATGAGCAGAACCGGGCTTCGCGCGCCGGTTGGCTGGGCCGCCTCGCGTCAGCCGTACTCGATTCTTATTGGCGCACCGTTTTTCGTCGATAACTCATTAACGGTGCCTCGGAGAACATTTTTGTAAAGGAAGAAGTTGCTTCAAATGATCCAAGGAACGCATTTCCGGGTTGCGAGACATTTTTGGGACACCCTGTAGTCATTGTTTCGTATGAAATTAGAAACATTTCTTTGACCAAGTGAACGATTTCTCGTGGCTAAAATGAAATAATAAAATGTGCATAAGGATCCGTGGTTTAAATCGCTTGCTACCAGCGTGTTCGTTTCCGGAATCGTTTTTCTAACAAATCTGATCGCTTGTTAAAATATTAAAAGATTGATTTTAAGGCGGATAGATTAAGCAGCGAACGAGCTTTAAAATAACATACAATGTAAGCGACAGAATTCGTTAGAGAACATTATTTATAAAATACAAATCGCACGGACTCGGCATTTAATTTTGCAATAAGAATAAAATATAGAAAGAAATAGCGTTGTTCTTTTTTTTGTTGCGAAAAATAGAAAATCGTGATCTTCGCACACGGCTGGTAGCAAACAACGCGCGTTAACGATTAGGACACCGGATTGCGTGCATCGACGCATAACAATGGAGTTTCCTTTGATTCTTGTTTTTATGCAGTAAGTTAATCGTTCCGAGCGCAGCCGCTTGTAAAACTTTGCAGATCATCAGCTGGTATTGTGAACAATAGTTTTCTGCGGTACTTCGGTACTTCTCGGTACGTTTCCTTGGCCGGCAATCATGAATTCTTTTCGGTGAAAAAAAACAAAAGCAAAATAGAGGTTAAGATTTTTGGCGGGACGCTCGATCGCAGAGAGAAAAAAATACGGATACACGAAAAAGAAAAAAAAAAAAAAAAACGAAAAACGAAAAAAAAAAAAAAAAAAAAAAGAGGAAACAATGAACGTCGAGGCGACAGGCAAAAATCTGTTCAAGAGACGGCGAGAGAAAGGTAGCCGATGTACATAAAGGGAGTGAAAACGAACGAAATTGTTAATAACATTACCTCTGTGTTGCGCGAGCAACACTCCCTTCCTACCTGTGATTTGTAAAATTTACTAGTCAGCTTACTGCATTTATTACAAATAAAATCATTGCTGTGTACAACTATTTTATTATAATCGAGTACATTACACGGTCGTGTTACTCGGACGTTTGGCAACTGCGCGGGCCGGCGCGAAGGTCTCGCGGCGACGGCGGCGATCGAAGGAAAAATCGGTTCCGTTTGTTTCGTAATTTAATCGGTGTTACCGTTTCGCCAGTTGTCAAGGGGGCCCGAGCACATTGTGCAGCCTTCGTAGAAGTTTAACATTTGAATGATATTAAAAAAGGCATCGACTGTATGTATCTACAAGCATACGTATTTTCGCATTATAAAATTGTCTTCGAATTGAATTATTCCGAATAAAACGTAATGAACCGGAACTTGGTGATTGATTTACCATTTTTTATATATTATTTATATTTAATATTTGTTTACTATACTTCTATACTTTCATTAACTTTCACATCATCGTCTTTTCCTTCCAATGACGTTAATAAAGTTCTAATTACAAGCTTATAGAACTATGTATACAGGCTGTCCCGAAAATGTCTCGCAATCTGAGAGAGGATGATTCCTGAGGTGACTTGAAGCAACTTTTTCCTTTGCGAAAATTTTCTCCGAGGCTTCGTTTACGAGTTATCGACGAAAATGCAATGACCAATGAGATGCGAGCTCGGCTGGTGCGCGGCGGCCCAGCCAACGAGCGCGCGGAGCCTAGTTCCGCCGATTGGCTCGACCGTCTAGCGCGGAGCGGTCGCCTAGCGCTTGGCAGCCGAGCTCGCCTCTCATTGGTCAATGTTTTTCGTTAATAACTCGCAAACGAAGCCGNGCGCGGCGGCCCAGCCAACGAGCGCGCGGAGCCCCAGTTCCGCTCATTGGCTCGGCCGTCCCGCGCCAAACGATCTCGCCTCCGATTGGTCACTGTTATTCATTAATAACTCGCAAACGAAGCCGCGGATTGCATTTTCGCTGAGGAAAAAGTTGCTTCAAATAACCTCAGGAATCCCTCACTTTCGGATTGCGAGACATTTTTGGAACATCCTGTATATATCCTATAGAAAATAACTAGCACAATGCGGCTCAACATTAGGGAACTTGCAATACTATTCGTTAGTTTATAAGCCAGCAACAAGTCAGCCGTGAAAAGTTCAGTGCAACCTTCTTCGCTGTCATGCTCTCCCAATACAAATGTCTAAAATTGCGAAAACTTTGAAATCTTGCGAGCGGTGTGTAACTCGACGGAAACTCGGATGGCCGAAGAAACATTTGTAACTTCTGCTGCATATGATCGACTTGTACTACTTTCAGAACTATGATTATTATCGTTATGATTATGATTATCGCGGCGATAGCGTATTGCGCGACATCCGCGCGAAGCTTCGGGATGTCGCCGCGAGAGGCGCCACCGTCGCAGATTTGTTTTGCTCCGTCGGTCGCGTTGCCCGGCAGCTTGAGTATTTCACCGCTACGATGCATCGGCGCTGTACGGCCGCCGAACGAAGCTTCGGGTTTTTGCCGCGAGAGACGTCGCTGTCGCCGCTACTGGCAAAACCGGTTGGTTCCGTTTATAGACTGTTTAAATAATTTTAAGTGACTACAATGTTGTAAAATTACGCATCGCCGTATTTAGCAGATTCCGCGGAATCCTTCGACGCAAGAAACATTTGCGCAGCTGTAATTGTTGCTGCTGACACCAATATAAGAAGCTTGCCGATTCTAATCATCTCTATTCGAAGAGACGATTTTATAAGCTAATCCAACGACGAAAATCGAGATCACCGGTTTTCCTTGAACGATTTTATCTCCAGACGTTAACAATTGGGGAAACTTGCTGATCCACCAATAGTGACACGCGTTAACCAGTTTCGTGCTCCATAGGAGCGAATCGGTGACGTATTGTACCGAAGATAGAGGACAGAGAAGTGGTTCATGGGGCCGCTTATTGGTCGATTTTAATTGTAAATAAGTTGAAAACGATCCTGTCACTGGCTGTCACGGCAAGATCGACATTCTCGATTTCCGGCTCAGATCGACTCCTGGAATTATCCTGTCAAATTTAGACGACACCGGGCCGCGGTTAATCGGGCGCGTGTATGCGCGCTCTCTATATATATATCCATAGTGTTTTATGCGAAGTTGTCCGATTGGCGAAACAGGGTTGGCGAACTTCATTTAGCGGGGTTTTCCTTCGATGGCGGCGTTGTTGCTGTGTGTGGACCCCTACAGAGCTGGCTACGGGGCAGTCAAATGTCTCGTAAAGGAACTCCCTCCGCTTGCAAGTCAAAACAAATCCCGCGAATCTTTCGTAATCGGCGTGGTTTGTGTTCGGTACGCGGTGGTTGGCCTCACGGGGAGGTCGGCGTCGTGGGTGGCTCGACGATAGGTTACGGTGAATTCAGTCTGCTGACCGCTACGCCGGACGAGGACAAAAGCGAGGAAACAAATAAAAAAGAAGCACGCAAAGAAGCGAGGGGCGACGAGGACGAGGAGGAAGAAGCGGCGACGGTGACGTATCCGGAGAGGGTTTGGATAGTAGAGAACGTCCGCGAGGGGAACGAGGCCGTCGGGGATCGTTCGAGCGTCGCCGAGCCGCCGATCGGTAAGACCGCCGATGTCGAGACTGTAGCCGACATCGAGAAATGGTTGAAAACGCGCACGGAGTCCGTGTCGAGCATGGATCTCGACGCGATCAAGTCCGGGGTCGAGGAGGGCGTCGACCGGTACCTGGGCGAGGAACTGCAGCACGCTTTTCTGGAAAAGGACCCTGACGGTCTGTCGATCGACATCGATCTGTCCGACAAGAAACTTAACCTAGCTTACGACCCGTTGCTGCAGGAGCTGCAGAACGAGAAATTGCTCGACGCCTGCGAGAAAGATGGTTTCATACTTCCCGAATTCCAGCTGGACCATTTGGATCCGCTGGCCCTCTCTCCGGACGACATGATGGTGGCTGGAGAGATTCTGCCTTCGACCAGTGCTCAACCGACCCTTGTTGTCCCCAACGGGGATGTTGGAGTGATATGCGAGGAGACCGAGCAGAATTCTTTAATTAGGAAAAGTATCATGTCCGACGACCAGGAGTCCCATAAATCTATAGAAGTTGTGATAGACAATTTGCACGTCATACAGACATTAAACAAAGAGAATGCCAAGTCTTGCAAGGAGGACCCTGGTCTATCGGATGGCGCGAATCTGTATATACAGGATCTGGGGGTAGAAAATGTTGTACAGGAATTACAGAGCGAAAAGCTGGAGGATAACAACGAGAACGCTATAATCGAACAGTTGAAGACTAAAACTAAGGTCAGATTGGAGCCTAGGATCATTAAGAAACGCAGGAGGATATCCGGGACGGAGAAGAAGTTGGACAATGAGATTAAGATCACCGGGGAGGATTTTATAGATACCGAGGACGGAGTGATGGCTGTCGTAGCGATATCCACCGATAAGATTTCGAACATGACACAGATCGTCATCAACACAGGAACAGAAGAGCAGATTTACCAGGGCAAAACGTCCGAGTTGATAGAAGCTACTGGAAATTTTCCTAAATTGCCAAAGCTGGACACTTCAACTTCATGGACAAACACGGTGGAACAGAATGACAATTCTAATAATCATGAAATGGTGATATCCAATGCTTTGGAGGAACTGGGTATTACCGACGATAATTTGCAACCAGTATCCGTCACCGAGCATGGGAAAGTGTGGGCTTGCCCACGCGACGATTGTTGTAGGCAATTTAGCAAGCTTTACGCTCTGAAAGGCCATTTGTTAGCTCATTACGGAGTGAGACCGTTTAAGGTAACTATATCGTGATAGTTTTGAGTTTAAACTTCTGTCCTAGTCTTCCTTAATCCATTATTTCGTTTCAGTGCGACTTCGAGGGATGCGCCTGGGCGTTTTACTCCGAGTTCAAACTCAAGCGACACAAGGAGACACACTTGAAACGCAAGGACTATGTGTGCGAGGTGGAGGGCTGCAACCGTCGATTTACAACGATTTATAATTTATGGAGCCACGCGAAGCTGCACAGTCGACCGAACAGGATAGTGTGTCAAGTGCCGGACTGCCAGGAGAAGTTCCAAACGAAGCGGGCTCTGGAGCTGCACATGAAATCCCACGACCAGAGCCACGCTCCCTACGTCTGTAACCACGAGGGCTGCGGAAAGAGATACTACAGCAGCAACGCGCTAACCTCTCATCAGAGATGCCATAGCTACAAAGAGGTGGACGTAAAGTGTTCATGGCCCGGCTGTGGGAAGGTGTTTGACAAGCCATGCAGGCTCAAGGCGCACACGCGTTCCCACACCGGCTGTAAACCTTATCTGTGTACGTTCCAAGGCTGCCAGTGGGCCTTCTCGTCGTCTAGTAAATTGAAGAGGCACCAAAAGAAGCACACAAACGAACGGAAGTTCGTATGCGACGTTCCCTCCTGCGGCAAAGCATTTATGAGATCGGAGCACCTCAAGGAGCATAGACTGACCCACAAGGAGGGCAGATACTTCCAATGTTTCCTGTGCAACGCCAAGTTCTCCGCCAAGAGTAGTCTGTACGTCCACATAAAGAAGCATCAGGTCAAAGAGGAGACGGAGGCCGGTCGACAGGATACCATGAATGGCCAGAAACGCGGCAAGCTGAAGGACACGCAGTGCTCCAGAGTGAATCCAGTTGTGAAGTCGAAGAGGAAGTCGCTGGAGCTGGACGTGGCCATAGCTTGCATAAACCCGCCCTCCACCGAGAACCTCGAGTCGGACGATGTCGGTTTAATGAATAACAATGAGGATCAAGTTAAAGTGGAACCAGTGCCTCCGCAGGACCAACCGAAGACACTGTATCACTGTCCGGTTGAGACTTGCACAAGGTCGTATACTACGAAAGCCACGCTAAGGGCGCACATGTTGAAAGTGCACGGCACCCCGGTCGAAGAATGTGATAAACCCTCGAACGCCGTGCCCGGGAGTCCGATCTGCAACATGGACTACATTTTATACACCGCGCCCTCGGTGTCGGAGCCGACCGATCAGATGATCATGGTCGCGCCCTGCGACGCCGTGATACTCAGCACTCCGAACGAAGCGGATCGTTCTCTGCCGGAACCGGAGCCGCCGCCGCCGCTTTCCAACGCGTTGAAGACCGCCGAGCCGTCTGTGAACGTGGCGACCGGTCAGCTGTCCCAGCAAGTGCGAAAAGACCAGGGCTCGGCGCGGACTGACTTGACGTTCTCAGACGTGTGGAAGCTGAAGGCGAACGGTGCCGTGTTAGACTCTGTTGTTGGGGCGACCGACGTCGTGTTGGGCGCCAGTGATTTCGAGGAAGGACTGTTGCTCACGGAGGAATTGCCTTCCATGTATTATCAGGACGACGTGGTGGGCACAGAGTATCAGGTATTATTGCTTGACTCGGTGCCGACCGAAAGTACTATAAATCTTCGGGGTCTCGAATAAAGAAATGGTGGGCGCCCATTTTGTCTCGTCCGTCGACGCGGATCACGGAAAACGATCATTGTTATTTTTTAATCTAGGATAAGTTTTAATATGGTCTGTGATCAGAGGGCTTGTTTAGTAGCCTTTACATTCATTTATACAGCAGTCCATAATTGCTTCAAATCGTTATTTTATTAATAAATCGTTGCTATTTTTCCAGAATGTTTTGTCCACTTGTCATTCTACTGTATATAGTACTCCCGTAACCTCTTTGTATACGTATATATACAGTAAACACGATACATTATTACAGAGGAGAGAACAAAAGAAAAAAGGAATAATTCTTCGTGCATTTTGTAAATAGTTTTTACACGCTGTACCATCCGCTTAACCACGAGTTTTAGTTATTTTTCTTCCATTTGTATTACGTCGTCGCGCAACGGGACTTATTGTTAAACAGAGGAGTTGGTTTTTCTTCAATTGTTTTTATAACATTGATATAAAATGCGATGAGTAGAAAAAAAAAGATAATGGACTGAAATGGAATGCTTTCACACACACACAAACACACACCAACACCATCACCAACCTGTAAACCAGCGTATAAATACCACCAGCGTACGTTGATGAAAACAGTTTCAATGCATTACTTTTCTTCGTTTACAAACAAATCTTTGACATCGTTTTCACTAAACAGCTTTACGCTAATGGAACTATGAACCGCAGTGTGCCTTCCCACATTATTATTATCTAGAACCGCGCTCTCTTCGATTCGCGCGTATCCTCCGCGTCGCGTTTTAGTCTCGGGAGCTAAAGCTTACGCGCGCCGCGACGTTCAAATTCGAACGGGCCGTTGGTCGCGCATGCGCGCCGCCGGCGCAGCCGCCATGGATTCGTCCGCGTCGCGCCTCAGTTACAATTTCGACCGCGCTCTCTTACAACAATTAAACGAAACCGATGCGAAAGGGTGATCCCAGTGTGATCACGCTCCCCCTCGAACAAAAAATCGACACACTATAAGACAAAGGAAAATACTCTATAATAATACTCCGAGTTATGGACTTTTTCTTTTAAAAACACATTTTCATCGGGAAACGTCGCGTCGTCCCCTGTAGTCCTCGCAGCAGACATACGCGGACCGACATCACACAATGTCGGCCTCTTTCTGCGCGTGAAAGATATGCGACATGTCGAACCATTTGGCGTAGACCCGATACTTGACTCTTTCCAGAAAGCACAGCAACGAGTGTAACACGGTGACGACGATCGCCTCGCCTATGCAGAACATCGTGGTGTGCAGCGGCTTCTTCCAGTCGAGTATTTTGTAGATACAATGGTTGCCGAATCTGTCCAAGCCGCCGGCCAGGTAATAAATTAGCGAGAACATTACGTAGCTTAGCACTATCATCAAACACCACCAAACGTTTCTTAGCCTAAACGGTATACTGGTCACGCAGAAGTCGATCAGTATCAAGATGCTGTTGCAGATGTGCTGCATTATGTTCAGCGGGTCCAAATTGTTGCTCTTCGGATTGTAAACGCCGGCCCAATACGTCACCGTCACGCAGATCGCCGTGTTCATCGTGACCACGAACAGGAACCAGTATATCCTCTCGACGGACCCGAGCGTCAGGCCCTGAGGATCGAAGTCGGCCGTCTTCTGGAGCTTCCATCTACGCGCCGTCAACAACAGCCCGATGAACGCCTGCGAGACACCGAGCACTATGTCCCAGTTGGTAAGGTAGATCGCCCACTTGTCGTAGGCGCGCAACGGTTCCCAGCTGCCGATCTCGAAGAACGAGCAGACGATGATGGTCAGCCAGCTGGCGAACATCAGGCCGCGGTAGACCACGTACCACGTTGCCACGTCCCTCTGGCAGACCGGCTCGGTGAACGCACGAGCGTGCGGCGGCTCTTTCTTCCGGTGGAACCATTTCCTGACCACGTTATAGTCCCACAGTTGGTTCACCATTGCTCGCCGATCTGCGAACAATTCGATCGACCATTAGTAAACGCCGCGTCACGCTTCAGAACCGCCCAATCACGGGAATCATGCGCCCGAGAGGACGAAACGTCGCACAGTAGGATCGAAGATTTTAATGACTTTTTGACGAAAACGTAATTTTCTCGTATCGATGACTAGTCAATTTGTATTGCTTGTTGAATGTTCGTTTATTATTAATATTAATAATATTGTTATTAATTATTATATATTATTATATTATATATATAATATAATATTATATTATATAATATAATAATATAATATAATATTATATAATATAATAATATAATATTACATAATATTATAATTATTATATTATTAATTATTATATAATATAATAATATAATATTACATAATATTATAATTATTATATTATTAATTATTATATAATATAATAATATAATATTACATAATATTATAATTATTATATTATTAATTATTATATAATATTATTATATTGTTGTTAATGTTTCCACGTTCGAGTGGAAATATTATATTTATTTATATTATTATTAAAATATTTTCGAGACGGTTCAAAAGTTACAACAGAACGCCACTGAATTTCTCGATCCCGGCCCACTGTGCGTCGCGACGGTGTCTCGACGAAACGCGCGCCGCGTCGAGCCTAATTGCCGCGGAATCCTTGATCGCGGTTAGTACACAAAGAAGACGGTCGACTTACATTATGTAACGAAATAACTTGATTTCTCCGTGTCCGGCTCTTGTAATCTGAATTGGACGCGCGCGCGCGCGCGCTCGCGCTCTCAACGTTCCATCGACGATAGTAGCTCAACGATCCATCAATCGCGAGATCCTGAGCTCGTCGCACGTCGTTCGTACGATGGGCTAGACCAGTCGTAAAATTTCCCCCCTCTCTCTGTTTCTGCGTAATTCCACCGATAACGCACGCCGCAATAGTACACGCTTCGAAGAATCTGTGCAGACTGAACGCGAAACGAACGCGGGAGGACCGAAAACCAAGCAGAAAGCTCGGTAATAAAACGTGTTTCACGAGGCACGTTCCCACGTCGCGTCGCAGCTGATATTTTAACCACCGTTCGCGTCTGATATTTTAATGAACAGCAATTATATCTCGATTAATTACAGAAATTCGAACGTTCCCGTGACAGCCGAAGCCTCGGCGCACGTCCGCGATATTCCACCTGCCTGGAATTCCCGCTTCTCGAGTTTGGGAATCCCGCCGGGTTTTCGAAGCCGTCGTGTCCCCGGACGCATCGCGAACGCGACGTGCCACGACGCGCGTAGAACGCGGACACACGTTCTCGCGCAACGAAAGGCAATCGTGCGCCGTGCGGTTCGACGTTCAGCGGTGTACGCGACTGTACAGGTGTGTCCCGCGGACGGATTATACGGTACGGCGTACGCGAGAGATATCTGTCCGTAGACGGTTTCCGCGAGGCACTTACAGTGGGAGCATTTGAATAGCAGGTAGAGGAAACGTTTCGGGATCGACAGGCTCCTGTGGAACGACGGCATCGCCGTGCCGTGCGCGAGAAAGCTTCGCACGAAGCCCGACAAGTGCGTACTAACACCCGCGCGGCGTCACCCGAGAGAAGCGGCAAGCTAACCTCTACGGTGTCATCGACGTTACGCTGCCCGTGGACGCGGCCATATTGATCTCGTTCGAACGGTTTCTCGCGCTCGCAGCGCGGCGTACAGCGCATCTTTGAACAACGGAGATCTTCGAAATTCGATCAAGCTATAATATATCATATATCGATATATTAATATAATATATATATTATATATATTAATATATGTATCGCGCGTTCGTAGGTTATGTCGACGAAGTCAGCGGCAAACAGGATTCTAAACGAACGCTAAGAAATGACGCTAATTATAACTAGATCTAATATGTAGAAATCGGATCTCCGACTTTGCGAATTTCTTTCGACCGAGAGACAGCCGTGGCAGTGTTTTCTGCGTTTGTTCTCTCCCGAGGGAAGACGCAGGCATATTTTCGTGACGTTATCGCGGCGGTTCGAACGCGTTCGACGCTTGTCGTATAATTTTTGTCAGTGAACATTCGAATACAGTAATGTCTCCCATACTGACGCTCGGATTGTCCACTAAAATGGACAATTTGGGAAGAGGAGACACGATTATTCGAGCCTTGCGGCACGTTTTTATAATTCTGGACAATTTATAACTATAACAATAAATCGCAAGGCTCGAATAATCGCATCTCCTCTCCCCAAATTGTCCATCATTGTGCGCAATCTGGGCGTCAATTAGAGAGACATTACTGTAAGTTCGATTAATTTCGTTCGCTTCGGCGAAAAACGACCGGTCGCTCCGACTCGCGTATTCGTTAGAGAATTCTCGAGAATTTCTGCATATGCTTATCGACAGCCGAGCGTTGCACGGAAATAATTGTTTACGTTACCGCATTCGTAACGTGTAGGCGAGGCAGTTTGTTCTTCAAGGTCCGTTCGCGGACACCTAAATTGTTACAAATATTTCCCGCTATCTAAATGGGCTTATCGTCAAGAAATTTACGACCCGTAATATAACCGAACCGTTACAAGCGAAGCATATAGTGCACAATTGGAAAGGTTCGACTGAGCTGCGAGAGAAAAGGAACCCGCGCCGATCGATCGGAAGGGCGTGATTCTTCGTCGCGATAACGCGCGACCGCGTGCCGCAAGAATCACGGCGGAAAAACTACGCCGGTTTGGGATGGCAAGTTCTCCTGCAACCTGCGTATTCTCCAGACATTGCCCCATCTGATTATCGTTCGTTTCGTTCCTCGCGAAATGTTCTTCTTGGAAAACATTTCGATAATCGAAGAGTGCCTCGAAAAAGCCTCGACCGAATTTGTTCGATCAAAATCACAAGAATTTTACAATATAGGGATCAAGATGCTACCCGAGCGTTGGCCACAAGTAGTCGAAAACAACGTCGACTGTATCGTCGATTAAATCGTTTCGTTTCGTTTAAATGAATTACTTTGAAAAATGTATCGGAAGACGACATTAATTATTATACTAGACCCGATATTTTCGTACTTCGCCGTATTCAAAAGAGTTTCCTCGATAGTGCCGAAACAAGATCAAAGAAAATCGCGCATCGATCCGGTCTTAGAGGTCTGCGAAGAGTGAATTACTAGCGACTATATCGTGCGATTCGGTGGCCGACGCCGCGGTTGCGGAGGACGCGTCGGTTCCACGGGCAGGCAGTGCGGACGAGGGAATGACGGCGATTGGTCCGAGTCAGCGCGGTCGGCCGGGATCGGCGGCGCGATCGGCCGGGATCGGCGGCGCGATCGGCCGGGATCGGCGGCGGCGCTCGTGGTGGAACGGCGGCGCGAACGCGGTGGAACGGCCGTGTAAAATCTTCTCGATCGCGCTCCCGGGCCGCCGGCGCAGATGGAGGCCAGTTTGAGCTAATTAACCCTGTTGGCCCGGGGCGGGCAGGTTCGCACGGGCAGCGCCGCGAACGCACGCATCGCGCGACCATACGCGCGCAGAGGTCGCGACAGCATGGTCAATCGGCCAATACCAATTATCCGTTAATTTATTACAATCTTCTATCATTGCCCATTTTGATCGCGTGGCGTAGGTAGCGAATCCGTCGCCTGTCTCGTCGCGCGTGAGAAATCTTTCGTCCTTTCGCTGCGAAATTACCCCGTGCACGGCCGCGCCGTCGGCGTTATCTCCGGCGCGACGAAAAGCCGCCGTTAATCGCGGCCGATCGTCGTCCGACGAGATATTGTATACTTTGTAATATTTCACGGGCGACGCGCGAGAAGCATCGGCGGGATCGATCTCGTGCGAAGCTCGTTCGATTTGCAAGCTCGTCCGGCCGTTACAAGCTCGTCCGTCGTGGACGACGGATTTCTTAATAATAATAATAATAATATTATATAATATTTCTTAATAATAATAATAATAATATTAATAATATTATATAATATTTCTTAATAATATTATTGGGATTGATTAATTAGAATTAATGTTATTTCTGCATAGAAAACTAGACCACGTGCCGGAGACTCGAACGATGGCAGAAAAGCTCGAGCTTTTGTTGGCGACAGAACGAAATATGTTTGCAACTTCTGGAATTCGATATTCGATGATTTAATGATCTGAATTCAACGGTAAATCGCTTCAATCGCTTCAACGGTAAAAGTTTTACTCGTCGAATGTTTCGTACAAGGGTTATTGTATTATTATTGTTAATAATATTATTATATAATTATATATAATAATAATATAATATAATAATCCTTATGCGAAACATTCGACGAGTAATAATTATATATTTTATAAGTAATAGTTATATATAATATAATTATATACAATAATAATATTATTATTACATAATTATATACAATAATATTATTATTATTATTATCATTAATATTATTACATAATTATATATATATTATTATTATTATTAATCTTTTTTTCCATTGTAGTTCATATGTTGCGTCCTTGAATGACCTTCACTTATAGGTCGTTGCATTCGTCTCGAAAGACTTTATCGGAATGCGAATAAAAAGTTAGGTCATCCTATTTAAAAAAACAAGCTTGACCTTCGTATGTCCTCTATGCCTTCGCCTATAAAAAGAATATTGACATCTTGTTATCTGCTCCTCGAAATCAAACAACTTTTGTCTGACGCTTTCTTTTCTATCGTCGAAAAGAAGCGAGTTATTCGGTCGTCGCGTGTCAAATGCCTCACCCTGTATACACAGGGTGCCCCATTTTATTCGAGAGATTTTACCGAAGTTATATTCCAGTTACGTAATATGTCTCACCCTGTATACACAAGGTGCCCCATTTTAGTCGAGATTTCACCGAATTAGTTTTCCAGTTACGAGCGGTTCGGTGAGTCAATCCTTATGCGCAACGGGGCTCTGTAGCCCTTTCAATAAGTAAACAAGCCCGTCCAGTACGTAAATAAATAAATAAATAAATATAGATTGCGAAGAGTGAGGCGTCGATGAGATCGTATCGGTGAAGCGAGGTTATTCTGGTCGTCCGCAGCAATATCCAGACTTACCCTAATGTACGTTGTTTACAAGAGAGATGGCCGACGACACAACTGACACGATTTCGTCCTTATAGGTCCGTCATCGCGTCGCGTATCCCTGATCGGTACGCGTTCGCGACGATCGCAAAAGCCGACGACGCGCCGCGGCGCGCACGCACCTTTCCCCTCCCAGCAGGCTCGGCGTCGTCGAAAGGATCGCAACGAGAGAGATCTGAAAACGCGCCTGAGACCGTTGGCTAGCCTGCTGTCGGGAGCTCTAGCGCCGCCGGTGAAAGGATCGGCGCCGGTGGAGGGGGGAGAACCGAATGCTGGAAGCGAATCGCGCGCATCTTATCGGCCGCGGTCTTATCGGCCGCTCTAGGATTTCTGAAAATCTAACGATAAGCCGGATTCTTGGAAAGTAGGATCGCCGATCTACGACACGGAAAGATCGTGACCGTCTTTTTTTCTTTTGCCATGGCAAACAAGCGTAATTATCGATGCTCTAACCGTCCAAAGCCTCGGCTTTGGAAACAAGAATGGACAATTTTTTTCTTTTTTTGTAGTTGACGACAATCGGCGCGATTGTCGGCGAGCCACGTGTCTCGAATAATCGGTTGACTGCGGATTTTATGCATTCATGTTAATACCATAATTTATGGTAAACTTATATCAGCTCTTATATCAATTATATACTTATATATTAAATTATATCAACACGGTGGAAACAAAGAAGATGTTCATTGAAATTATTGAGATTTGAAATTGCTTGCGTCGTGTTACTTAAAAACCGTGGAGATAATTTTCATTTAGCCTCGTGTCTAGACTGCGTTTTTTTTTTGCGACATAAAGAGAGCGAGATAGCTCTCCTTGCACCTTTTGACAATCACAATAATTGTTAACGATCGATAACTATAAAAATCGCCTTGCGGCTCGCATCTTCTAAATTTACAAAGAAGAAAAAAAATTCATTTAGGCCAGTTTTTCAAAAAGATGTTCCACTTCAAAAGGTGTGTTCCATTTTAAGACGGAGACTTTTGCTCGTCACTTATGTATCTCATAATTATGCACATCTAATATTCTGTAAATTTTATATATAGTTCCCTCGGCGCCGTCGAAAACTGCGCGAAACCCCGTCGCCGATTACCTTTACAGAAAGTTTAACGGCTGGATTGCGTCGAGCGTCCGCTCGTGTTGCAACACGATCGATGCGCAGGAGACGGTGGAACCCTCGTTGATCGCTAACCGAATATATCCTCGACGAGCGGTGGCACGCACGACGGCAAGTACAACGGCAACGGCCCGCGCGACAGCTCGCCTGACCCGTCACTGACCAGTCCCCTGGCACAGGTCCGGTCAAAACCCTACGCACCGTGACTGAAATCAATTCGATCCGTACGTTACCCTTTCCGCTTCCCCCTCCGCCGCCCTTTCGCCGACTCTGTCCCGTTTAAACAGCCCCCGAAGAACCGCCGCCTAGCCGTCTAGTCGTCTATCCGCCTAAGCAAGCCTAATAGCCCAACGCACACGGCCGAGAGTCAGTCGGCTGAACGGAACACGTGATATATATATGTATTCACAGTCGCGCGGCTGCTTCTAATCGCCTAGGAAGTCCCCGCGGTCGCGTGATGTCCGCCGCCACGGTCCCCCGTAAAGCCCCACGAAACCCGAGAGACCACCGGTCGATTTCTCGAAAAAAAAAACGCGGGGAATCGCGTGCCAACCCGCCGCCTGTGGCAAACCATGCGAACATTCGCGCCATCGTGCCGAACGTGCAACGGCCTCCGCAAAAAGCCTTCGCGCTTCACCGATTTTCCATCAATTCTGGATAGATATTTTGCAATGTTTAGTTTGCAAAAACGAATCGCACCGAGACGATTTTTGATCTCGTTTTAGAACTTCGTTTTTTTTTATTATTATTGCTATTTATTATAATTGCTGTATAATGATATGTATTATATTATATTATAATGTAATATATATATGTATAATGCTATATAATTGCTATATAATTTGTTATTGCTATTAGCGCTAATAATAATGCTATATATATTATATTATTATTATATATTAATTATCTTATATTATATAGCAAAGAAAATACGAATTAAATGTAAATATCTTTTCTCTTTTAACAGTTAACAAATACCTTTTCTCTTTTATTAATTGCAAACGACGCAACAATATCCTCAAAATTCTTCTAATGTATTCTAATGTATTTTTATTATTATTATAAATGTATAAAATCTGCGATCACTCGCAATGGGGAAGCGAGGTGTTTCCGAGGTCATTCGAAGTAATGGCGAAAGTACAGCGAAGCGTCGGCTGCCGCGAGGCCGGCCGAGCCAATGAACGCGCGAAGCCCGGTTCCCGCTGATTGGCTCGGCCGGCCTCGCGGCAGCCGAGCTCGCCTCTCATTGGTCACCGTTTTTCGTTAATAACTCGCGAACGAAGCCGCGGATCGCATTCTCGCTGAGGAAGAAGTTACTTCGAATGATCTCAGGAACGCCGTCGTTTCCCGATTTTGCGCATATTTTGGGACACCCTGTGTATTGTTTCCTTTGCGTCAAGCAGTGCTGGGTTAGTTCCAACGCCGTTGGATGGGTTTCATAGCGATTGTAGGGCACTTGGGGGGTCTCAATAAATAAATAAATTAATAAATAAATACATTTTCTGCAGAGCTCTTGGCAGCCGATTCGACGGCCTTTTTTGGATCGCGAAGCATTCGCCATTGCGATTCGTCCTTCAATTTTCCCTAAATAATCTGTCTTTTTAATTCTAATAATCTTTCGCAGAGTTTTTCCAAGCGGTTTTTGTAGTTTGGAGTAGCGCGTCCAGAAAAAATGACTATGGAAATGTTAATTCGATTTGTTAACGACAACAGCGATAATATAGACATAATTGAGGTCGTTATCGCAAAATTTGAAACGAGTTTACGTAAACTGTTCACATGAAACGCTCGGACTAGCTGATACTGTATTCATTTTAACGTCATCTTTTTGCTTTTTATTGTTAAAATGGGCTTTTGTACGTATATTTAGATGAACAAATAAATAAAAAAATAAATGAATAAAGTAATAAATAAATAACAGAATAAATGAATAAAAGAATAAATAAATAAATAAATGGCTAAATAAATAAATAAAAGAATGAATAAATAAATGGTTAAATAAATAAATAAATGGCTAAATAAATAATTAAATGAATAAATAAATAAATAAAAAGCAAATTGGTTTTCCGCAGAGATCTCTTACGATTTCATGAAACTGACGCAGCGTCGACTGAACGATGAAACTGAATAATGGCGCTAAACTTCGAAACTGCCGATAACGGCCGGTTTCGCGCGGAACTGTGTGGTCAGCGGCTTTAAAGCAAGTCGGCCGGCCGATCAGTTGAGCACACAAAAAACAGCTGAACCAAGTAGTCGCGCGTAGGATTACCGACTCTCTGCATGCCGCGTGCACCTTTTTTCCCCGGAAGGAATTCGCTTCTTGCAATGCATCCCCACGTGCCAAGCTCGCGGAATGTTATAACTGTTTCCGAACGAAAAAAGTAAACGGCTCGGATTCGTCGGGAACCGAGGAAGTTTAACTTTTAGTTATCGGGGCGGGGGGGGG